AAAAATGTGAACACCACCCAAATGACTTTATTTCGTCGGCCAAGGGTGTGCATTTCGAAAATAAACAACATTTTAGTTCAAAGAAAAACAAGAAAACAATAATTTCGATAAAAATTTGAAAAAAAATGTGTGAATTTGTGTTTTGTTCCAAGTGAAATTCATTCAAAAGTGTTACAGTTTTATTCAAACGGAAACTGGGTTGAGTGCTTGCTATCGCAAAATCGAAACGATTTATATTTTTTGAAAATGTGCTTAGTGTAGACACATATTAGCTGAATAATGAGAAAAATGCCTTAAAATAATCAAATGATATAAAACAAATCAAAAGAATTCGTAAATTAATGTTTATTTTAACGCTGTCTACAGCATAAAAGCCTATTTTATCCGTTGCTTTACACCCATTTATGTGCTTGTGTCGTGATAGTTTTGCATTATTTTCTGCGTCATATAATCGCACCGTAATAAATTTATCGAAAATATTTAAATAATAGAATGTAAACAAGAATAAACGTGTATTTTACATTTAAAATAGAGTAAACGCTAAACCAAAATATACGTTAAAACAAAGAATTATTACCGCGGACCAAATAAATCGTGCAATTATTTTTTTTGAATAACACACAATGCAGAGCTTTCATTTGATGCTTACCGAAAAAGAAAGAATGGTTTCAAGAAACATACACAAGGAGAAAATGTATACATGAAAAAAAGAATGCTTTGTGTTAACCATTTACATGCCTTTTTTTGCTGCATGCATTTCAAATGCCTTTCGCTTTAAAATAATAAAAAAAAGTCTTATGGACGAAAATTGTCTCCTAAATCGCGCGCAAGAGTGAATAAAAAACACAACGGGAAGCGAATTTTCGTGCTTACTACCGTATTTCAACGTGATAAAGTCGATGATTCACTCACCGGAACTTCTAAGTCGCACACAGCAAATGTAACAAAACTTTTCGACTAAAAAGAAATGGGAAGGGTTGCAATTCAGTGGTGGTGGTGCTGCTGTTGCCACTACGCCTTTTCATTCGCAGCAAAGAACAAAGAACTAACCAAAGACAATACAGAGTGGAAATGCGTGCTTTGAATTGCAAAGTATCTCCCAGTGCACAGACATTTATTAAACATCTTTTTAACGTGTGGAATTTTCCGTTTTTTTTCTCTCGCTGAAAATCGCGACACAAACTGCAGAAAACTTTTCGTCACGAAAAATACGCAAGACAATAATAGAAAAGGAACAGAAGAAAACGTGTGCTAATATTAAACTGAACAGGGAATAAAAGAAGATAAAAAAATACGTACAAATGATTCGATGTGTGTGTATGTGATATGGTAAGAGTGGTTCTGCGTTTGGAACAGACAACTTCATAAATAATCCTTGGCTCGAAGTCAGAAAACTTCTCCATTGTTATCTGGAGCAATCGACAATAAAATAAGAACTAAATCGAGCGAGTGTAGTAACAATGACAATGAAACATAAGTTTCCGCTCGATTGGTTGATGTGAAGAGACGAAAAATCAGACGAAGAAATGAATGAAGGAGATTAGAACATTAAGATACTTATCGGTTTGATCAAACTGAATTCTTTTCGAAAAACTAAAACAATTACATACATGAAAAGCAAATCGAATTCGGGCGTTGCTTCAGCTGAATAGCCAAGGATATACGCAGCATTAAAATCTTTCTCTTTCATTCAACAACGTGCCAATGTGGCGACAATAAATAACAACCAAATGGATATTGTGTTTGGTATGTGTCATTTGAATTTCCACATTCATTGTCAGGCCTTGGTTTTTCTTTTGTTTAGTCGTCAAATTGCGTCGAAGAGAAAGAAACAAAGTCTAAAGACACGCAATAAAATGGACAGAAAGCGAATAATGTAACACCACCAATGCGAACTTAAAATAGCCTGTAGGCAAAAATGTATGTCGGAAGCCGTTAATTTTTTCCTTTCATTTGCAATTTAATCTACTTGCTTACCCCACATTTGGACAAATTCGACGAGTTTACTAGTTTACGTTTTGTTTTTTTTTTACAAACTTTTCCATTTTCTTTTGTTTTGTTCGTTATTTTACGGGCCTTTTTTCCGTGTTTATTGAAAATCAGCAACAAGCTAGTTTGCGTATAGTTCAAGTGTAGGCAAATAGTGAATTCACATGTAAATAATAGATATATGAATGGCATAAGGTGAATTTAAGCAGTGTTTGAGCGTGTATTGCTGAACGTACGTTCAACGTATGCTAATCGGGCAGGGCGCGATGTAATTAAAGTCATGTTACCCCTTTTTGGTCATGCTTCATTTAAAACCGTTGCTTTGCTATGCATTGCAAGGGACAAATCATTAAAGGGACAAATGCTGCGTACAAATGACTACAAATGTCCACTATACTCCATTTCAAGGCGATTACCTCTTACATTTTTCATGACTGCTTCCGTACTGTAACTCCAGTCGAGGCGGTGTAAATCAATTGGTAACGTTATTTAACACTCGTTTTACTATCATTTCCAACTATCTAAATTGATATTTGGTGTGCTGAAGGCTGAAAATAGAAAATGAGATCAGCGAACTCAATGCGATGTCATTTCACTTCAACAATCTCAAGAAATGATAAATGAACAAACTGCGAAGCGCTCAATCAACGCCAACTTTGTAATTTCAAGCGCTAACTTCACTGCACATCACCAACTTTGCCATACACGCTCGATAAATGAGTTTTCCAGACGTTCCATTGTAATCTATCATACGACGAAGCAATTATTTTATTAAGAAGGTAGAATTTTGTTCGGATGACTTTCTTATAGCCAGATGATGCCGCTTTATTCAATTAATGCCGTTTATAGAATGATTACACAGCTTTCGTACGCATCTGCAACTCATAATCAGGTTCTTCGTAGTTCGTTTATTGTTTTGTTTTCTGTGCACTTGAACAATGCGCGATGGCTCTCTCTCTCTCTCTCTCTCTCTCTCTCTCTCTCTCTTTCCTGCTCTTACTCTAATCCAGAAACTCCGACAACGTTAACACTAACAAAAGACAATGTCGGAATTAAACTGGCGTGGATAACATCTAAACAGCAACAATGCACATGCAAACTACTGCTGGCAACTGTTCATTGAACACTCGTAAATTCAAATTGCGGATGAAACAAAATAGGACAAAAATTTCAATATTGCTGTAACTTGCAATTGGGGTATTAGAGCTTAATCGATTTTTTTTTTGTCGTTGATTCAGTTCAATTGAGAATGGTTGTAGAACATGAGAAACATTAAATTGAACAGTGCTGTTCCATTTTTCGATTTGTTGTTTAAATAAAACAATCGTTCGATGCGTATTCCGAAGGACAACAGGAAACAAGACATTTTTTTTACCATTTCTACGCTCTATTTCGCCTATGTTCATTTGCAACATGTTTTTTTTTTCAAATTCCGTACTCGACCTCATTTCAACGCGGTCAAAAGTGGTTGACAACACAACCATCAAAAGAATTACTTTTCCAATTCCACAAAGTGGACTCTACTCTAGTTCAACGTAGAATATTTTTCAGCCTTAAAGGGTAAATTATTTCTTCGTTTTTTCCCCGCTCACTAAAATAACACTGGTTTTTGTCGTTCATACCATCATCACCTCCGTGCACACATTTCGTTAAACATTTGGTTTGTGTTGCTTTGAAAGATATCGGCACTGGCGTCAATTATATCAGTAGTAATGAAACACGGGGTACTGCGGTGTATACGCTGCATCAACACACATATTGGCCTCATTAAAAAAGTATTTATGATACGGATGTGCAAAATGAAGCAATGAAGAAAAAGAAGAAGAGGTGGAAAGAAAAAATGACAATATGCATTGTTTAGAGTGTGCATGATTCAATGGCGCCTCTTATACCGTGTTCCAAAACGAGTGCACTGAATAAACGTGTGTTCATTTGTGACGGAAAGTGTGCCCATGAATTTTAAATAGTTGATTTCTAGGTGTGTCAACTGGTAGAAAGTCAGTGCAATCGTGAACAAAAGAGCTGATGAAAGCCGTCCGTGATCAATGGTCCTCTAGCCAAGCGACAGATAACACATCAAAATGCACTCGCGCACGATCAAAACGCAACCACGCTGCACTCAAGCACTTTCATCTAACAAACAAGAGCAACGCAAACATGGTTCTTATCACACAAATTTTTTTATGTCTTCACAAAAGGAATTTGTTTCAAAGAAACTCTTTCATTTATGGCTGGCATTTAGATCGTTGGAACATTGCAGGCATTTCAGTTATTTTTTTTTCGTAGAGAAAATGCAACAATAATCGAAATACCGATACGGTTTTAATCGAAATGATTCATTATTGAGAGCTGACGTATTTGGGGTAGGCATTTATAACAGCTAGAACCACTTTGCAACCGAACAAAGTGCACATTTTTCTTTAGTCCCACATTTTTTTCGCCACTCAAGTTTGTTGTACACTCTTGTTCATTCGAAAGAGTGAGAAAAATATTACTAAAGCCTAGTATTATATAACATGAGAAGGAAATTGGCAAAGGCTTTTAAATCCTATTTATTGCGTTCATTCGGCCGGCGACGACGATACAGAAAAAAAAGGAAACAATAAACAAGAATCAATACACAACGCCAATGGTTCATATTTAGGGCAACATGTCAATTGCTTTTTAATACTTTCTCAAACCAGCTTAAGAGGCAAATGAATTTTCAACATGGAGAAATATTGATATTCCATACACTTGTAGCCGCCACATGCAACGAACGGCATGCAATGTACAATTGTTGCGATTATCTTCCATTTATCCGAAAAAGTCACGTCGATACTCGGAGAACCATTCTCCAAAATACGAAGAAATAAATTGAATTTTTACTGGTCGAGAACATTTTTTGTACAAATTGTCTGCAATTGACAGATTCAATTTCTTGTATAAAAGTTTTGATTATATAAAAACCATGTATGAAACGTTTTTCTACCCATTTTACTTATAAAACGGGTTTTTTTTACTTTTCACAGATTCCGTGGCAGTCGTGGTGAACATTTGGACAGTATTGGGATGCAGTCGCACGTAATGGATATGAATGGAAGTGGTCGTCATCGATCACCTTTGCCACCGCCACCGACTACAGCTCATTTGGTCAATGGAAATGGAACTGTTGAACAATGGTCCAAATTAGCCGACACATCTAATGGCCAAGATCAGGTAACTTGATCAGAAATTAACCAAATTCCACACCCTTGAACACTTTTTAAAACTTTTTCCTTCTTATTTTCAGAATAATCTAAGCCCAACGCCAAGTCGCAAAGATAAAAATTCACCGAGTCACTCGCGACGAAATTCGTCGTCAAAGAATCCATCGAGTCGTGCCAAAAGTGCTCCACAAGTGTTTGCCTACATGAAACGAAATGGATCGTTAGATGCTCAAACGCAGCAAGCGGCCATGATGATGACAGCCAACGGAGGACGAACGGCTCATGTATCGGCCGTACCGCGTACGAATAAAATGAAAGTGTCAGGCGGAACACAAACTTGTACGGCTGATTTGCAAACGAAATTACCATCAAATCCGCAAAACCGCAGTTTCTCATTAACTGGAACGAATGCAGCGCAGCTCAGTCAATCGATTCGTGAACGATTGGCAAATGGTTCGCACAGTCTGCCAAAACCCGGCACCGATTTATCTGTCTTCCAGCATCGGTAATACTATTTGCATCTTCACCACTTTCAATTGGTTTGATTTAATTAAATTTTGGTTTTATTTTGTCTTTGCAATAGAATGGCCAACCGGGGATCGCTCAAAATGACTGATGGAAGTCTATCGGACACACAAACTTATGCTGAAGTTAAAACCGATTACGGCAGCTATGCCATGTGGTTGAAACACAGTAACACAGCCACAAGCCGTTTATCGGAGGGTGACACAATCGATAATGTTGGCATCGGTTCACCAGCACGTGCTCACAAAATGATGCAACGTGAATCCACTTATACAACACAAAGCCCACGATTAAATCGAAGCAATAGCATTAGGTGAACATTATTTCACATTCGAATTTTTTTGTTTGAATGACATCCATTCAATAGATGAAATCAACCCATTTCTTTCTTACAAATAATAACATTTAATGTTTGGATTTTGGACCCCATACAACCAAATTTTTTTTTTTTAGATTTCACCACCATTAAATCATCCAAACGTCAAAATTCATTCATTTTTTTCTCTATTCCTTTTTCTTTTCTTCAATCCTTTTTGTTCGAAACTTTACAAAAAAAAAAACATGACATTCCAAAATTCCAATTGTAAAGCTATCTGAAAGAAAGGACATATCCAAGGTACATGAAAAAACGAAATGCTTTATAACGCAATTGCAACCCAATTGGATATTATACAACGCATGACGCACAATTCATACCTTTATGCTTATTGCTTATTCCACTTTTGTTCGCTTGTTATTAATCCACAACCGAAAATGCTAACAGCAGATGGTTTGAAGGAAATTATTCCGAAAATAAAATGATGTGTAACCATTTGCCTTTATTGTTCTGGTTTCGTTACCATGACACCCAGTTTATGTATATTTGATACACCAAAGAATTGTTTTTAGTATGAAAAATTCACATTTTCAATGTGGGTATTAATACCTGCTGTGTTATGAATGTTAAAATGTGAAACTGTTCAATTGTACTCCGAAAAAATGCTCGAAATCGCTTGAAAATGCTCAAAAATTCCTTCAAGAATTCAAAGGGACATTTGAATATATCGAGTCTAAATTTTCGTCTATTGTGATAAATTATCAAGAAGAGTATAATTTTTTTTTAATTTTCGTTTTCATTCCAGTTTTCATTATCATTTTTAATATTAAGTTTCATGTAAGATGTCACATGTCTCATGTTTGATTTTTCCATGTCCATTCTCAAATTTTTTTCGATGTAAGTGTCGGAATTCCGTTCATGACGAATGTGTTAAACCTTAAAATGTAAAAACCTAAAAATATCATTCATTTCAAGTGAGACGCTGATTTCTGATGATAATTTGTCGTTAGCAAATGAATATTCATTTAAAATTGTATCAACGCGCTTCCAAATCAACGTCATTTTTGATTATATTTGCAAAACGCCAGACTTTGCTGATTATTTCATGTGTAATCAAATTTTGCGGAATGTGAACGTTTCTATATTTATGAAGTTTAAAATCAAATGATAATGATATTTGCTTGCTTTGTATTTACACACGTATATTTCGTACACATCTGCTTAATTAGCTTACGTTCTTTATTTATGCATTGAATAATTTGCCTAGTTTACACCTAATTAATGTTTATTTGGTCGCATTATTCATAGCTCAGCTTGTATTAATTTTGAATTCGGTCCGAAAAAAACACCTAACGGTTTAATTGCGTGTATTTTTTGTGTTTGGTTTAAAAACAGATCGACAAAATCCGAAAAAATGTATCCATCGATGTTATCACGTGGTCCATCCGATGTTGAAATCGAGCCGTACTACTGTTTGCCCGTGGGTGCACAGAATCCATTGTCAGCGCACGCGAATGCAACCGCAAAAACGGTCGTGCCATGGAGTCAACCGACATCACCGACACCTCCATCGCGATTCAGCAGCAACGGGCCACTATCACCAACCCATGCTTATCGTTTAACATATCCAAAGAAGAACGACGATGGTGAGTGCCACGCTCCAAATTGATTTATTATCCCATTTTAATGAGGACACATGAATATTTTAATTTCACATTTAATTCCATTTTTTTGCTCGTTCTCTTCGGATTTTTCAGTGCACGGTAGCGCAACGTCATTGATATCAGGTGGTTCATCGTTGTACGGTTCCACCGAAGATCGGCAAGCCAACGAGGTCCGTCGCTTGAAGAGAGAATTATGCGATGCACGCGATCAAGTAATGAGTTTATCCAGCCAGTTGTCGTCCAACGTAAGTAGAACGATTATATTTTTTTCACTTCATTTTTGTTTGCCAATATCAAAGTACAATGCTCATGAAAAAAAAAACGGCGCACAAATTGAAAATGTGCTCGTTCAAAAGATTATAGGTTTGTGCGATTATGTTCGCACCTGTCACTTTAAAATCACAAACAGATGAATGACCACAAAAACACGTCGCATCGTCACAGCGCCATTTACACTTGGTAAGTTTTTTTTTATTCGCGCGCACATGTGGACACAATCAGCTGCTAAAACAAGGAAACAACATGACCGTTCAATTACATTCGCCAATTATTCTTGGACAGATGCTTTTTATTCGCTGCACTTTGCGTACGTCAATCAATTACGAATTTTCGTCGATTTCATGAATTCAGCTCAGATTGAATTCCAGAACCACACACATGACGAAAATTGAGAGTTTGAGCACACATCCACACATGAGAATCAGCGTCAGTGTACAATATGCTACATTTACGACCATCAGTTATAAACGTTTTATTTGCAGTAAAGTAGAAACGAAAGTTTTTGTCTCGTGAAACTTTGAAATAAAAACAGTCCTTAACAAAACTGTGGCCAAATGGAGCCAACAAATCTATTCGACTAGAGAGCTATTCAACAAAAACTTAATTCGGACTCGTTCCAAATTCCCCAAGATGCTGCTACTGTGTTTTTTTTTAATGCAAAACTGACACGAAAACACCATTTCTGCTGCTATGCCCAGAATAACAATGTTGACAAATTGCTGTTTTCGATTGGCTCTCTGTTCGCTTTTTGGCAGCACACAACTATTGAATAAAATTTGATACAAGCGAAACTATATCCGCAATCATAACAGAGAGCAAATGGATCATGGATCATTGCTTATGCTGCGCTTTTTTTTCTCCGTCCCTGCATCATATCAAATGTTACACACCCTTGCCAACTTTTCTAACTGTGTGACTAAAAATCATATTCTCTGTAGCAATATTCGTTTTGAGGGTCGCATAACTGAAACGAAACACATTGAATGCGCTGGCGCCACTCAGACTTTCATTGTGTATTCACTCATCTCAGCCCTATACCAACATGACATAAAAGCGCAGTTAAATTTTCATATAAAATGCCTTGAAATCAAATGGATACTTTTTGGTGATTCAACGCTAATCGACTGTCAGACGAAACTGACTCACCAGATGTGTGTTATGTTGTCGGCTAATTCTAAACCGTTGCAATAACAATATATGACAAAAACTCACGATGGATGGATGGCCTGCTTTTCCGAATTTATGTCTTGGCTTGGCTTTGGGGAATTTGTAGTTGGAAAAAATGGTTTTTACGGTGACTTCACTCGCTATTAAATGTAGCATTTCTGGTTGCAATTGATGGAACAAACAACGCAAATAAAATTGTTTGGTGTCAAAAGGGCTGAATGGTAAAAATAGGACGCAAGTCTTTGAAAAATGGAATGTAATTTCATATTTTTCAATCATTTGAGAATTATTCCATGGAATTTTTTGGCATTCCATCGAATTATTCGAAAATACACAGAAATCGACATCTGAGGGCACGGAAATTCATCGAAAGAACGATATTTTGGCATAGAATTTGGAGAAAGTAAAACGATATTAAATAACAAAGATGATAAGAAGTGATTTTCGACAATTGTCATAACAACAATAATGTTTCCATTCTTGACGAAAGAATCTAGAAGAGAAAAAAACTTCAACAAACATAAAATTCTCAAATTTACGACTGTACTCAACGCAGTTCACTTGCAAATTCATTCTGCGCTATTGCAACAAAATCCAAATCATTAGATTCCACACCAAAGTACTCGACCATAACTAGTACATCGTAAAATTATTCTTCAGTTAAATGTTCTCAATTTCCTCCATTTCTCAAGACAAATAAAATATTTTCCAATGGCCTGAAGCCATTTGAAATTGATATAGCTTTGTAAAATAGACCGAATAATAATCTAGTTCGTCGTTGAACATTATTATTATCAATGAGCCAATTCTCGATATTACCTCTAAGAAGAACACAGTCGTCGAAAGATAATCGAAGGCAAAATCGGTGTAATTGCAATTGTTTGATTTTAGTTGTGTTTGCAGTCGACCAAACCATTCGTTAAGTCATCGAATTTCGAAACAAAAAGACTATGTTTATTGGTGTCGAAAGTAGTTCTCTATTGCCTCCAGCTAAATGCTGTTTTCCGTAATTTCGACGACGATGAAAATTATTGTGATTATATTTAAATCGACTGCTTGAAGACTTGATTGAGGATTCAATGTATTTATTGGCATTTGCATTGCGCCTCTCGTCAGAATGCTTCGAAGCGAAAAAGAGACTGTGTGTGTGTTTTCTTCTCTCTCTGTGTGTAAAAATATTTTAGCACATTGAACAAGGTAACGGAGTTGAAAATTACCGAAACTTGTTTATTGCATCGTTTCTTTTTTTCTCTCCGACGATTTGTTGTTGTTAATAAAGTTTAAAAATCACTCAAGTTCACATCATGTTCGAGCGTATAAATTCTGTTGTGAGCGCACAGATCCGAAATATACGAAGTGAAATGTGTGAAAAATGCTTCGGCAGCATCGCTACGTAACAGCGGACGGTGTGCAGCGGGTGAAAGAATGCTCGAATTTTACATGATGAAATGTCGAATTGATTGAACATCGGCTAAAACTAACATTTACATTCATTTTTCGTCGTCGTTGCTGTGTCCTGGGTACAATGAGTCGTTCTATTACCTTCGGCGCTCATCGTGTGCAATGTGTCATGTGTGTAATTTGGTTATTTTACATGGTTTGCTCTTTTTCTCCAACCCAGCACATAACATTGCGCCATGAAAGGATAATTAAACTTGATTGCGATGCGAAACGAGCACAGCAAACTACATGGCAAAAAAAAAGGTACGCAGTGAACGATGTGAACGGGAAGAAAACAGCGCGAATTTGAGTGCGCGCGTAGTTTATAAGATTGGCGCGGAGCAGTTGAGACAGTTGTTCGATTGTTCGATGCAATTTAGGTACATGTCGTGGCGAACATATTCCTCAGGCACAGCCAAGAATGAACTCAATAATAAACACAGTCACCGTTTGTTGTCTTGTTGCTTGTAAGAAGTTCACTTACCGTGCACACCTAAGCAACCAAGCCAGAAAAAAAAACACAACACATTGTAATAAAACGTTGACGCTGTCGAAGCTACGCTCACTGAAATATGCCGTTTTGGTGAAATTCTTTAAAAGGAAAGTCTGGAAGAAAAAAACACACACACTCGGTATGCATCGAATAAATGAAGATAAACGAAGAAAGAGTCGACGGTCGACAACACTCTCTGAAGGCAAATAGAATTACGCAAAACGAATGATCGCCAAGCGTGCACAAAGCAAATATGTTTGTCATTTCTTCTTCTGTCTCTAATGCCTTTTCTAGCATTTCTATCTCCATCTATCTTTCACTCGAGTCAGAATCCGCATTGACACTCTCTCGCACACACACACACACACACACAAACCAACGTGCACTCGGAATTAGAACATGTAATTTACACAATATGCAACGAGAAAGAAGTGTGCAGGGAAAACCGAGAAAGAAATGAAACAATTAGATAAGTATGTTCAACTTTTGCTCGCTTTTACTTACTCCTGTTGTGTCGACAGTGCAAACGATACCATGGTGTCTCGGTTTTTTTTTGTGTGTGTGTTCAGAGCGAGTTTCTTGGTTAAGAATGAATGACACAAAAAAAGAACCTAATTGCTGTCATTCGTTCTGCTTCGATAGATTTTGCTTAGAAATTAACTCAACTGTGACGCTTTGACTTTTCTTCAAGTCGACACACACAATCGGCTTTTTTGTGTGTTTGTATACGATGCAGCTAATGCCTTTATTCCCAAATTGTATTATGACTGTGTTTCTATTTCATTTTCTATACGTTGAATATACGTCAATGCTCGGCATGAATTGTCTTTGTGAAAACGAAACAAAACCGACTTTCAACCGCTTCATTTCAACGAAAACACACAGTGTCATATCCTTTAGCTCAGTTTCAAATTGAATTCAAAGTAAACCACTGAAAGAAGCAATCATCCGTAATAAAGATGTCAATGTAATCAAATTTGTTGAATTAGCATCGAATAGAATAATATGATTTGTAACGACTTTATTTAGAATATTCAATGAGTTTGTGTGGGCAGACGCTCGCCTTTTCATGAATGATTTTGTAAATTCAAATCATTGAATGTTCACCTACAAATAAGATTGTCGAACTATTGACAACCAGACGATTTGCATAAATTTACAAATAATCACATGGAATCAGTCTCGAATGCCAAAATTGTGTACAAATTAGTTTCGTCTCGAAGAATTCCAAATGACAATCTCATCGAGCTCGGATTCAAATGGCAAATTGAATTCACACAAATCAGCCTAATCGAATTAAAGCATCGGACCAGCATTTGCTTCACTAAAAACTCATTAATCAGAACCGTCGATGTGATCATCCTTTTCATGTCTGTGTCTTTGTCATTCGACAACAAAAACTTTCAGTCTGTGGTATTGTGTTGTGAGTTTGGCATTGGTTTGGGGAGTTCCCAGCTTATGGTTCTGAATAGAATTTTTCATGTCGAAAATTTCATCCCACTGTGATTCGGTGCCACATATTGTAATGTTTACAAATCAATCGGAAGGAAGAGACCAAATAAAGATACTGTGAAAAGAATACAATTTCCGGCATTCGTTCGGAAATGAGTAGCTATATTGCGATATGATTTATGATTTACTGAAACATCCGTGTATTTGTTTCGATGGGAAATATCCAACCGATACGAAAATGATGATAATAAATTGGCCAAATAAAAAGGCATTTCTCTGTCAAATAAATAAAAAGGCAAGTGTCATAAAACATTTTCATCGAAAATGTCCCACGTTGCGACAGGTATCAAAGCAGACATCAGATACTAAAAACAGAAAGCAGAGCAGACAAGTGATTCAATTGTGTGTAATCTG